AAGCGGTAGAAAATGAATGAATGAATGAATGAATGTTTGTTGCCCTGACAAACTTCTAATTAAGGCCTTTCTAGATCTTATTGATTCTTTTAATCTCACACAATCTGTGGCTGGTCCTACCCATGAGCATGGGCACACCTTGGACCTTGTCTTATCTTATGGTGTACCTGTTCATGAGTTGGAAATCTGTGATGCTGTGTTTTCTGACCATTTGCCTGTGTTATTTCTGATTGATCTTAATTGTTATCCTATTGCTCCTTGCGCTGTGTATTTAATTCCTCCACTCTCACTCAGTTCTCTGATTTTGTTAATGGAGACCTTGTTATTCCTGATTCTACGGATACAGAAGAGCTCGCATTACACCTTCACTCTACCTGTCAGGCCGCCATCGATGCGGTGCCACCATTGAGGACTAGGCGCCCTAGGACTAGGCTCGAGCCCTGGTTAAATGAAGAGTCCCATGCTGCCAGGCGTGAGTGTCGCAGGGCTGAGCGCAATTGGAAAAAGAACAAACTACAAGTGTCAGATACAGTTCAGATACTTAGAGATCCTTGGCATGATTATCAAAAAACTGTGAAAAATCTTAGGAGAAATTATTTCTCCAATATCATCGGTTAAACTGTCATAAGCCTCGTGTGTTGTTTAAAGTTATTGACTCAGTTCTGAATGTCCCTCAGGTTGCCTGTTTTGAGTCTTCCCTTGCCATTTGTCAAAATGTTTTATTCTTTTTTAATGACAAGGTTCTTTCTACCAGAGCTCAAATTTTATCTCCTGCTTATGATTTTTCTGTTTCTTGTCCCTGCTCTGCTGTCTTCAACCAGTTTGAGTGTGTGTCCTTATCCCATTGTCAGGAGATTGTTGGGCGACTGAATCCCTCTGGCTCCCCAAATGATGCTGTTCCTCCTCGATTTTTAACCCTATAAAACCATTTGTATTGTTAGGTTGATTTTTATTTTCAAGTAGATATGAACAGAATTAGTTAAGGTTTTTATTTTATAGCATACATAAGTCTATATACTTTAATCTCACAGTTATATTTACGTGTTACATATCACCCTATGTGTTCACTGAATCACTGGTCAATATTTATAGTGTTAGCCAACTGGAGCACTGTTTAACATCAAAGGGACTGGTCCACTCAAACAGTGAATCTCATTAGATTTACAGCTTTGCTAAAGAGGGTCCACAGTTACTTTACTATCACCACCTGGCAGATGAGCCCAGGGGAATTAGGGTTCACTGGGACACTATGGTTAGTAAACAGAGATTAGATCTGAAGCCAGGAAGAGGAGAAAACTTCAAAGGTAGAACCATTACACACACACAAGCAGAGCAGTTTTAATTGGAACCGGAGAGCAATGCCTAATACGGAGCAGTTAGTTGGAAACAAAGGAAGAAGTGTTTGTGCAGTGAAGATCCATGTGCACATGCTTATTTTGATACGTTAATGCATAATAAATTTCACACTGGGGAATATCCATTTACTAGTCTTTTCTCAAATAAAAGAACTCGCCCCACAGTATCATATTTGATACGTGAGGTTTCTGAGCAAAAGAAATCGCCAAAAATGCCCCATGTATCAAATGTGATACAAAAGAAATAAAAATAATCTACATAATATGGCACCTCTATTCCTATATGCCTGGACTGTCTGTCTATGCATATATGGCAAATAAAAGTCGTGAATCTTGAATTTTGAATCATGAAGTATATTGTGGATTTTGTTAAAAGGTTTAATAAACACCTCAGTTGCAAAAAATTAGAATGTTCTGGCTATTTTTTATGTGTCAGGCTTTACATTGTTAAAGGAAATCTTTCCGGTTGTAGGGCCATTTGTTCTCTCCATTATTAATAGTAGTTTATCCTCTGGCCTGGTTCCAGTGATGTTTAAACATGCCGTGGTGCGGCCGCTGATTAAGAAACCTGGTCTGGATCCCACAGTGTTCTCAAATTTTAGGCCCATCTCAAATTTGCCATTTCTCTCGAAAGTCCTTGAAAAGATAGTTTACGCTCAGTTACTGGCTTTCTTAGATGAGCACAATATTCTTGAGACTTTTCAATCAGGCTTTAAAACCCTGCATAGTACTGAGTCATCCTTAGTGAAAGTCTTAAACGACATTTTTCTTGCAATTGACTCAGGGACCCAGTGCTCTTAGATTTGACTGCTGCTTTTGACACAGTGGACCACAATATCTTTATTTCTTGTTTAGAGCACTGGGTGGGTATCCGGGGTATAGCTCTGGAATGGTTTCAATCTTATCTTAAGGATAGATCCTTCTGCGTGAAACTCAGAGATGCTGTGTCTTCCTCTGAGCCCCTTTTGTATGGGGTACCGTAAGGCTTGGTCCTTGGACCCCATCTTTTTTCCCTTTACCTTCTTCCACTCGGTTCTATACTCAGGAGTCACGATGTTTCCTTTCATTTTTATGCAGATGATTGCCAGTTTTACCTACCGGTTAATAAGGCAAGCTCTTCTGTAAGTACACTTCTTGAATGTCTCGATCACATTAAAATCTTGGCTTGCTTTTAACTTTTTAAAGCTGAATGAGGATAAGACTGAGGTGATAGTATTTGGTGATTCTGTTGGTTCCCCATCTATTGACTTGGGCTCATTGGCTCAATATAATAAAAAGAATATTTTAAATTTAGGTATTAAGATGGACCCTGATTTAAGACTTGACAGCCAAATTGCAGCTGTCATTAAATCTAGTTTCTTTCAACTAAGACAGTTGGCTAAAGTAAAAGCATTTGTCTCTAGACAGCAGTTTGAGATGCTCATTCATGCTTTTATCACCTCTCATTTGGACTATTGTAATTTGTTGTATCTTGGGGTTGGTGAGTCAAAATGCAGCAACGCGTTTTTAACTACAGCCGGTTCCTTTATCTGAAGGCCCCAAGAAGTAACACTCAGCAAACAGGAATCAGCTTTACGTAGATTTATTTTCTTCTGGTTAAATGTAGAGTTATTACAGCGCTGGGCTCTATGAGATGACAAGTCTCCAAGAGTCTTGATAATCAAAAATCATTCACATTTATCTTCTCGGGCTGGGACTGCCCTGTACATGGGTGGTACGTTACATGTAAATATTCTAGAATGTTCATATAGGCAGTATGTGTGTGTGTGTGTGTGTTGTTATCTTCTATTTTCAGGTGTTTCTCTCTAACTGAAAGTGGACATGCAGTTAGCTGTGTCACTTACTAGCATAAATTAACAGTATCTTATCTATAGTTTCCAGAACGACACTTATCTATGCAATCTATTCTTGCACAATTTTCCAAGAAGATGAAAAATACTACAAGTTGACTCGAAGCTGAATATTATAACTATAATGCATGCATAAGAGCCAGGTTAATACTGATACATGGTGCTGTTAATGAAACACAGACAGTCATACTAAACTCTATCATTATAAAAGCAAAATAATACTAACTGTAAATAAAACAACTGTAACTCCTGAAATCCAATCCTAACAGCGTCTCAGGTACGAGGAAATATGAGCATATCTTTCCAGTACTGGCTTCCCTACATTGGTTACCGGGTCCATTAAAAAGATTTACTCTTTATTTTTAAATCCCTTCATGGCTTTGCACCATCCTACTTATCTGATTTGCTTCATTGGCATACACCCACACACTCTCTGAGGTCAGCCAACCAACTTCTCTTGAGTGTCCCAAGAACAAAGCGTAAGCTTAGAGGCGATCGAGCCTTCGCAGTCCCAAACTGGTCCCAAACTCTGAAATGACTTACTGCTGTCCATTAGACAAGCCTCTACCCTGTCTGTTTTTAAGTCTCCTTTAAAAACTCATTTATTTTCCCTTGCATTTTGATATTTTATTTTTGTGTTGATTTAGTCATTTATTATATTGATTATAATTTATAATGTTGTTTGTGGGTTTATAATATATACTGTTTTATTGCAATGTACAGCACTTTTGTCCACTTTGGTTGTTTTTAGTGCTTTATAAATAAAGTTGGTATGGTATGGTATCCCATGGAAGATACCCTGCAAACTGTTGACTTTTAATTCAGGAAAATCTAATTCTGTCTGCATTCACTCTGTCAAGGCATGCAGTAACCAAGCTATTTCAAATCCCATATGTGTTTACTAATGACTTGTCAGTTAGAACGTTTGTGTAAATTAGGGTCTCGGTGCAACAGTGCTTTCATAGTATTCACAGAAAACAACACACACAGTGTTGTCTTGCTTGAGAGCTGTATCTGTGTCTTTTGTGCTTTCAATGTGCTACAAGGAGCATGGGGAATGAGGGGTGGAGAGAGGTGGTGGTGTGTGTGTACAATATGTGTATTTGGTGAGAGGAGAGCTTTGAACACTTTCCTAATTGACCTCAGTTTGATATTTCTTAGGGTGCGGCATTCAGAACACATTTCCCAACATACCCACCACATAAACAAAAAATTCTGTTGAAGGGAAAACCTTATTTCTTTCATAAAAATGTTGTGTATTACCAAACAGTATATTTAAATGATTTGCTCACTGTTTATGCAAACACATGGCTTTCTATACCTCAACAATGTTTTACATTTATATTTTACAGTAAGATCCAGTCAAAGATCAATTGTGTGGACCACTATTGTGCAGACTGTACAAGTAGTTATTGACACATTACCCTTGTTATTGTTCTTTGGTAATTTCCCATCTACACATGGCCATTGTAATTTTTAAAAGTGTAAAGTCAGAGAACCAACACAACAAACCTATTGAAAACACCTGTTGAAAAATCAAGGTCATGTTGTCCCTATCTATGCTTCTTATAAAATGAGAAAAGAATTTGAGCTAATGAAAAAGGGATGTGTTATGCAGGATATCTGAATGCCTTTGCAGATAGCAATGTTGACTCAAGAGTCCTGGCTGCTTCAAGCCAGGAAACATCACTAGCACTAGGGCCATGTTGGACCTCTCCTTAAAAAAGTTTGAGATTTTTTTCACAGCTCATTGTAAGCAATCAGGCAAATAGAAGCCTGCAGTTGTGCAGTGCACAGGCACTTCTTTCTGGAAGGCGGAGAGTAATGTTCAGTCTACCGACAGGCAAGCCAGCAGACCGACAAGAAGTCAGGACATATTCTCATAGCACTAACAGATGGTAATACCACCAGTGGGTCTTCTGAAGCCCACTTTCACTCTCCTGGGTGTGATTGCTCCTGAATGCACATTCAGCCTCCTATACTGCTGGCAGTGAAGACCTGCAGATGCACTCAACCACAGGCTTACTTTTCAACCCTGCATCTGTCTCAACACTCACACCAAAGCTGTACCCACAGGAAGAGGATACACATGTTTTATTGACAGTGCTACAGGTGGTTTGAGTTTGAGCTGCTGGTGGACTGGACGTTTTTTTTCCCTGTGTGGAGAACTGTGGCATCTTTGAGAAAGTATGCTGCCAATTATTGTGGCATATTTGGTATTCATCTTGCTGGACTCAGGCGAGGCTCAGGTGGCTAGACAGTCTCAGGGGCAGAGCCAAAGTCAGGGGCAGCAAAGCTCTGGTGCCCCTTGGAGGCAGGTAATTCAGTGGGAGAACAATGGCCAGTTGTTTAGTCTACTGAACAGTGGAGCTGAATATATCCCTGCTGGGGCAGGAGCCCAAGACAGAGGTCCCAGGGTGGTTGTGGCAGATGGACATTCACGCTCTTCACGCAGACGTCAGGGAGGCAATGTTCGCAGACAGGCTCCATCAAGAGGTTCCTCTGAGACTGTCCGTGGGCAGGCCAGGCATCCTTTTGGCTTTGGGCAGGTGCCTGATAACTGGAGACAAACCTCAGGCAGTACAGGTGGTAGCCAGGTCCAGGGATCCTCTAACACTCACTTCAGGCCATCCACAGGCTCTTCATCTTCATCCTCATCATCCTTTTCTTCATCTTCTTATAATGTACCATCCTATCCACAGTACCCATTTCCTCCACAGCCTCCCTTCCAGCCAGTACCTTACGACCCTGGTTTTGTGGAGGCGCCATATCAGAGCTTTGAGCCTCCCTTTCAGCCTGTTGCTGGTGCAGGATATGGTGGTGGGCAAACCTATACTGGGGGAGGGTACAGAGAAGGCCTGGCCCCAGTGCTCCCAGGCTCCCCTTCTGATTTTACTGGTGATGGCTATCGCTACTACCAGTCTTATAGTTTTGGGCCCAATCCTGTGGTTCCTGCACGTGTTGGCCAACCAGCATTTACAGATGGTCTCGACCACAGATACACCCACAGTCTCTACAATGAGGACTTAGCTCCTGTCATCCCTGTGCCTAATGCCAACCAGGCTGCGCCCATGACAATTGACAGGACAGGACCAGCCAGTCAAACACCAGTCAGGAGCCCGCAATATGAACAGTTTCCTCCATTTGGAAGACCCCAGCCTCCCTTCCTGCAGCCCATTCCTCCAAGCAGAAATTCTCCAAACTCTGCCCTTGAGAACCCTAGTACGAATGTTGGGGGTGTGTACCGACGAGAACAGAGAGGTACAGTAACCTTTTTGTTTTGGTTGTTTGTGAACACACTGTATCCTCTCTTACCCATTTTGTTCTGGAGGTTTGTCCAAATCATGATAACAGCAGGAGAGACTGTGACTCATGGGTGCAGTGGCAGTAGATGCAAATTTGGAGCAGTGTGTTTGGTTTTCAAAACTTTTTTGAAACATTAAATATTTCAGCTTTTCTGCGAAACAGACAGCATGTTTATTGGTAGGCTTTCACCCACATTACTTCTGTCTTTGAGGCAGAGAATGAAAAGCTTGTAATGTGATATCTGTTATTGCTAGACATATGAATTTGAAATATGTAAAACCCAGGGGAGAGCTCACCACCCCCTCAAATACTCAATCATATTCTCACATATTTTTCTTTCATGATTGTCAGATATCTGATGTAACCAGAAACAAACAGCTGCTTAAAATTCAATTTACAAAGGAAAGTGGACACAAGGTTCATCTTTTTCTACTTATATGCTTATTGAAAACAAGTGTTGCGCAAGCGCTGGCAATATACAGAGAGTGCACACAAGAGCCACTGTTTTTTGTGTGGAGAGTTCTGTGCTACAAGAAAGTAGAGTAGTTTATGAGGCATGTAAAGTTTGGTAATGTGGTGGTGACCTCATAGGGGCTGGTGACAGGGAGTGTTAGTAGGCAATAACTGCCTCTTAGACTTGAGGACAGGAAAGGGGAAACGAGGGAGGGGATACAGTACCTCAATACTCGCAGAGGGGGAGGGAGAGCATGGAAAGTCCCAGTAACACATGGGGTCCATTGCTTCTGCTACAGGAAATCAAAGAAATATTTTAAGAGCTCTTGAGAGAAGAACGGAGCGTCAAAACATGCAATGCAATGGCTTCAAAAAGTTTCCATATCATAGTGAACAGTTTCTCTAAACTGATCAGCAATTTATCCCCAGCAACATATCACTGTGCTAAAGAAGAAGAAGTTTACTGAAGTGGACCTTCAGTGAGTTTCCCAGATACTTAAATATGTAGATTTAGGTTTTGTTTCACTCAGTGATCTGTCTCACTGTACAGCAGGCGCTCTAGTGTGCTGTGTGCCTTGAAACCATCATTCATTAGACACTAGAGCTGGGAGCTATTTCTACAGCACAAAAAGCCAACATGTGCGCAGATGCCTTAGAGCTCTCAGTAATCATTGTGATAAAGATTCTACCACTGGGAGCTGTTGAAATGTTGACATTTTTATTGCACTGCTTCATGGCATGGGATTAAGCTGTTGTAGTACAATAATAACTATTGCAACCTACTAGTTTAACATTTACTCAAAACAGATTTCAGCAGACAAGCATATCTGCTGTATGCTACTATTATTTTGTGTGGTTTTAGTGGCCATAAGGTATAGAAGACACATGGACATGTCAAAAAAACACAGTGCTCAGACTCTTCACTAAATAATTCAAAAAAAGGCAATCTATCTCACTGTGTGTGGCTTACTAAAGTCAATGCACAAAACATGTAATGGTACTGGTTCTGAACAAACTGGCAAGCATTACTATTGGCATCCAAGATGTACAAATAACTGCAACGATTCAGTTTAAGGCTCCACCCTGTGCGTTTTTCCGCATGCACAGGGTGGAGAGGGAGAGCAGGTTGCTGGTGGGTTTATATTGGTTCTGTGTTCATATGTTCATTAAATCAATAAACATTGAATTACAGGGGAAAAAGGCCATACAAAAAGTCTTAGCACAGAACCACGGTCCCCTTGCTGCTTTTAGCCATCCAGTGGTTCCACAGACAAGCTATTCTCAGAATCAGACACTCTAAACAGGGCCATAGTGTCACATTAGGAGTACTCTTCAGAGCTTTCTGCATTTGGTGTGTGTTCAAAGTATTAATCAAATAAATTCTTTCACTGCATGAGCAAAATGAGAGGAGTTTATCTAGTTTACAAGTTTTCTCTCCAACATTGGCTTAAAGACCTATGGAGTTTGTAATTAGACAGTGAGCTCACCTCATGTCTGCCTGCTGTTTCTCAGCCTGCTGGTCCATACTAGTGGCTTTGTGAGTGAATAATTATCTTTAACATAGTGTCAGTGGCAAAGATTTGTTAAAAATGACTGTATATTGATCTATATATACCCACTACAGCACATTGTCATTTAATGTCACTTTCGCCTCTTATATTCTCAGGCAAAACTACCAGCAGTTATAGGTGACAACAATTAGAACGTAATTGGTAAAGATGAATCCATTAAGGCTGCTTCAAGGCTGCCTCACTGTTTATTCATTCATTATTGTTACCATGATATCTTCCAATTAAGAGAACGTTTAACACCTCACTATAGCTGAAAAAATTAAATTAAATACAGAGTATAATTGTCTGACAAAGGAAGATGTGAAAGTTATATATAAAATACTTCTTTATTTTTGATTATTCATTGTAAAATGACCTGACTGAAGTATTCCAAGTCAGTTTTCTGCAGCTAACTGGTCTATAGCTTAAAGTAGGAGTATCTGGTGAGGGAGCCCTCATGTGTTTTATTATGCTATATTAGGTGTCATAAAAAGCCTGGCAAGATTCATTTTCTTCTCTCTGTGCATCCACTCTAATGTGTCTTTGTCATATGCTGTTGAGAGCTGATCAGCTTTGGCTTCTCATTGCACTTTATCCCTATGAAAAGGACCCGATTTCACATTTCAGAAGAACAAAGCCTTCCTAGGGTGAGAAAAAAACATCGGGTTGAGATTGCTGTTGGAAAACTTCAGCATTTCACACTGTTCTTTCAGTGTTTGCATGGTCTGGCCCAGGAAGCTTCCACACAGCAGGAAGCTTTTACACACAAAGGCAATGCACTTATTTAAACTTGCAGCTGTGGAGAAAAAACTCACCTAGGTGCTAAGCGCCAGGCAGATATTCATTCCTTCATCATTGTCCAAAATTTTAAGATAATGGTTCATTATTTAATCATCTACTGTATTTTCATTTCTTTGGTTAAAACATACTGCAGCAGATGTTAAAGGTTGTACATGATTACTGCGATTTTATTCATGTTTTGAGGTTCAGAGGTCAGATGCTTTGACTTTCAGTTGTTTGAACAAGGTCACATTAAAGCATGTTTGGCCTTTTTGAGCTCAACAGAGAGGGGTGATAAGCTAAGCCAGAGCCCTTGCTTACATGGCTGGGAACAGGACAGGCAGACATTCGCTTTGGCAAGTCCCCCATCACCACACACACACACACACACACACACACACCACCCCCACCTCTCCCCTCTTTCCCCCTCTCCCCCTGCTCCTCAGGTTTTCTGACAGATTTGGTCAGTGACCCACTTTAAAAACAGCAGTGTGTGAGATCACTCTTGTTTTGCTCTGGCACACGTTCTCCCTCTCTGTTTGTCTGCCTAGCTCTCTTGTGGCCTTTTTCCATCTGCACAAGTCAGCCCACTTTTATTGTACATAGCTTGGGCCCATTTGTTTCTAACAGCAGGGGGTAATCCTGTGGCCTCGGGTTCACTTGGCCCTGCTTCTACCCAGGGCCAAATGGGGCCACTGGAGCTCAGCACGAGATATTGAAAAACGCCATTTCTGGATCTGTGAACCTTTGCCTTTCTGGATCTCTTGATCTCTGTCACTTGTTTAAAGAAATCGACGTATGAAAAACACAGATTGTATTATGTTAAAATTTAAATGGAAGATTACATCAAATTGATATCATTTCTTCCCCATTAAAAACATACATTTGGTGGAAAACAAAATGTATCCATTAATACAATTTGATGCACTATATGTAGTTACATGTTTCTTAGGTTTTTGGGATTTTGCACACAGTAGATTCAGCTGTAATGCTCTCTCTCTCACTTCAAACTCAGCCCTGTGGGAGAGGCCTATCACTAAAAGCATTTCATTAGAAAATCATGATAATAATCTGGAATGCAGAGTGATTTGCAGTCAATGTTTTTTTTCTGAAGTGGCTCAGGCTTGAACCCTCATTACATTGTTGCTCATCATACCCTCCATAAACACCACATTTACCAGGTAATTTAAACATACACTCACAATGGCAAATATGCGACAGGGCTAACAGGTAGTTTGGTGAAGCATTGGAATTCAGAGAGGTCAATAACTGAAATGTGTTTGTCATTCTTAACAATACTTAAGAATGCTTAATAACACTGTTTAAGCATGGTGTATATGTACTATAATCACTCTTATTTTCAATATCTGCAGCAGATTTGTGTCATTTCCGAGCAAATTACAGTTACTTCCTGGAAAAAGCATGTGTGTTATTTAAAGTGGGTGAATGACTATGCAGGTGAGCAGTCTGTCTATCATTTCAGGTTTACCTGACTTAATTCCTGATCACAACTATGTCCAGGCTTCCACATACATCCAGAGAGCCCACATGTATTCTCTCCGCTGTGCTGCTGAGGAAAATTGTCTGTCAAGGTAAACCCAATTCTGGGTGTCATTTACTGGCTTGTGTTAATTGATATATTTCTTTACTTTTTCACAGGGTTCATTCTTATGTCACAGTGTCAAAACACTTCTTGCCCATATGGATTCTGTTTTCATATTAGTGACAAATGTTCTCATTTTGATGGTCTCTGCAACAGCTTAATGGCAGCATTGTGGCTCAGTGTTTAGGAAAGTGCAACGAAATCCAAGTTTGCTAAATTGGAATCATTAAATTGTGTTTAGTCCTCTGACAGGCCGGCGTGCTGCTTTGGATCAATAAAATGTAAATTTTTCAAAAGATTAATATTTTTTATAAAGTGCTTCACCTTTGGGTAGCATTAACAGTGAGTGCACCCATCCACAATGTTAAAATAGCCTTCAGGATTATACCATTCTGATTAATATCTGAATAAAATCATGAAAAAAGTTGACCAACAGCACAACCTACTGTAAGTGAACTAAATCCTGGTCATCTTTGGGGGTACAAGCTGTCATTAGTTTCATTTCGTGGTGTTGGTGGAGAGCATCCCCTGAGCCCTGGGCCTGGGCCTTTTGCTGCCTCTGTACTAAGGAGACTACTGAAATGATGGAAGTGTGCTGTCCACATGGCTGCTCTATTTACCCTCTTCCCATCACAAGCACAGCCATTCCTCAAAGCCCTTTCATATCCTGTCTGAGTTTGCAGCAATCACCGACAGATGGGCTGTTGTAATTCGCCATACACTCCAATGTCAACAACAGCCACAAGACGAATGGATTAGATCTTCACTGGTACTGTGATCTCAATGTTGTGCCTCCTTTTTTACACACAAAAAAGTGAATCATGCAACAGAGTTTTCCCTTTCTCTGTGCTGAATCGGTGTATTTGGAGCGATGGTTGTAATCTGTAGAATGAATTATTTAGTACACATGTTCCTGCCTTCAAGCCTTTTCAGTTCTGCTCTTTTTTTTTCTTCCTTGTCTTAGTTATGAGAACCAGACATGCTGACATTCTTTTTGGAGCCACTTGTGCAGTTTTCCTTGCTGTTATTTATTTATTTTATTTTATTTTTGTCTTCATGTATGTGCCTGCCATTTAGCTCTGCCTATAGCCCTGAGACCACCGACTATGATGTAAGGGTCTTGCTGCGATTCCCACAGAGGGTGAAGAACAAGGGAACTGCTGATTTTATGCCTAACAGGCCACGTCATACCTGGGAGTGGCATAGCTGTCATCAGTAAGTACTTAACACAAAACAGATTTTACTCAGTGAACTGGTTATGTTTTTATGGCTACAGTATTCACCAGTGAGATAACATGGAACTCGTTAGCAAACATTTTTATGTTGATCTGATTTCAGCAAAGTATATTTATTTATGTAGCTAGCGTCTGTACACATGGGCTAGTATAGTATGTGAATAGCAATAATTGTAAGGCATGTTTTTAAAGCTATAAAATTCCTGCAATAGCTGTGGTTAATGGGGAATTTGTGAATAATAATATTATAGTGTTTGGATAATATTTAATCACATTCCAGCATTTAACTACTGGGTTTAATGAGATGTTGCTATCTAATGGACTTTACTGGCATACAAGCAGCATTGATGGCTAGATTAATGCATGTCCATCTTGGACAATAATATGACACGCTACTACACAGCATGGCCTTGGCCTTGGATGGGAAGGTCCATTTTCAGCTCAAACAAGAGGTGGAAATCATACATTAATTTGAGAATTTCTTGAGTTCAGTTCAAAGATTCATCGTTTAGTTACTATGACAAGTGCAATCACTTTTTTCTAAGCTAAGTGGTCATATCACCGTAACTGAATGCATAAAAGCTCTTCAGTACTTACAACACTACATGAACACATCGCTGTTCATCCACCCTGATATTTAGTGACTTGCTGTCTTCAGTTCAGTAGCATGTTGCATTTGTTGCTAGTCCAAGCTGTCATGTTCAGTAACCAGGCTATACCAGCACTGTAAATAAGGTTAATAGCTCAGCAGCTTAGTTTTCACAACTGAGTTATCTGATTGATTGTTTATGTGGATTTTGTGATTTTTAATAAGCTTTTAATGAGGAAATAATTAACTGTGAATCACAACCGATGTGACAACACTGCTAAAGGCTACTGATTCAGTCAGTGACAGTGGTGAATTATGTACATGTGTTGAACACATCTTGTTAAAAACTAATTGACCTTGCACAATATAGTAGCTGCAGCACTCACCCTCTCACTACTGGGAGGAAGATGTTACCTAAGACCCCAGCTGGCTGCATTCAATCTAGATAGAAACACGAAGAGGAAAATGTAGTAGAAAGTAGTAGTTGGTTTTGGATGTAGCCCCATTTCATAGAATCATGGTTCAGATGTCATTTCTCTTTTGATCGCCCAAACCCATGAACATGACTGTGACACCAACATTTAAATGTTTGGCTTATTCAGCCTTCAGTCTACTCAGTGTACTTACAAGCATCACATTCTGTGGCTATTGGTCCATACCATTATACCCTTGATTCTCAGCAACAGCTTTGAAGTGCTGGAGGACAGAGAATCCATGTCCAGTATGTTGATGTGACACATGACAATGTCATTTGAATAAAAGTAAATGCAAAGTGGGATCAAAGTGTCCTTTATATAGTTTACATGTATATAGAGGGTTTCCCTAGTTTGGCTGAGAAAGTACTGCACATACTCTGTCAGTTTGTGTAAAATAGAGTACAGGATGAGGATGTTGAGGTTCTCTTTAGGAGTGACCAGGATGGACAGGATTAGGAATGAGCACATCAGAGGGACAGCTCAGGTCGGCTGTTTTGGGGACAAGGTCAGAGAGGCCAGATTGAGATGGTTTGGACATGTGCAGAGGAGGGATAGTGGTTATATTGGTAGAAGGATGTTGGAGATGGAGCTGCCAGGCAAGAGGTCAAGAGGAAGGCCAAAGAGGAGATATATGGATGTGCTAAAAGAGGACATGAAGTTAATTGGTGTGAGAGTAGAGGATGCTGAGGATAGAGTTAGGTGGAAACAGATGATTCGCTGTGGCGACCCCTAATGGGAACAGCCGAAAGAAGAAGAAGAAGAGTACAGGATGATACATTTTAAATTTCACATCACATGCAACATAATGGTATGTAGTATTTAGAAAGTTTTCTCATTGTGTTTTCCTTGATGGACAGATTTTAGTTGGTTTAGCAAGCTAGTAGTGCATGTCTCTGGGGGACTGGTGAGGTGATTTTGGGGGTATTATCATTGTTTTATTACATTATATTCCAAGTCCACCCACTGCTGCTAGTGCTAGGCTCAGCTATACTAACCTCATCTTAGAGGAATGCTGATTGGTCGTTAGGAGATTGGCAGTCTTGCTGCTGTCTGACATCAGTCTGGATTTACACAGTGGTTCTCAGGAGGCAGAAAGCCAAGGCAATCATTTTACTGACTGTGTGATCAGAATGACAGTCCTTTTTTCCTGCCAGTCTGTAACTCCAGATTACACATGATGGCATGGATATGGGTTACTGGGACATGGGTGTTTGGTTACAAAGAAATGCCTTCAGGGAAAGCTAATCTCTTGCACATATTCTCACAATAAACTTTACTGCTCTACATTTAGTCAAAAAACGGTGCAGCTGACAGTTTCCTTTTCATCACATTTACTCCAATCATTGTTGCTTGAGTGTTTGAAGAAGGGATGGAACACCATTCTCTTGAGTACCACGTATTTTGTACATTTTGGAATTCTGTGCAAGTTTTTTTACTCAGAGCAGGACACAAAATTCCATGTAGCAATAATTTTTTTATGCCTACCAGTGTGGGAAACATGGGAAGTAATATTTATTGTTGATACTGCAAATGTTATTTATCTCAGTCAACTTTCATAACATGTGTGATCTTTGTCAAGATCATGGCTGCTATTTGTGCAGATACTTGCTCATATGTCTTTAGATCCTGATTGCACTTCATGGCAGACATGTCAAGCCATTGCTTAATAGTTCTGTGATCCGAGAAACATTCAGAGTCTTGTTTGTTGCAAGTGGAAAATGACTCATGACTAGGAAGAAGGACTGGGATGTTTTGTAAATTACGATTACGAGCTTTCCTTGTCATATCCTCTTTGTGTCTTTCCAACACTACATTCTGTAAAGTTGACATCGTCAGTGAAGGGATCCAGGACTCCAAGGAGGCAGGGGACCCTTCCAGGCACCTCCTCGTCCAGTGCCTCCCACTCTCATTCTTTTTTCTCTGCTTCCTGTATGGAGGAGTATGGAGGACCAAAACTGCCATAATCAAATATAAAAAAAAAAAAAAAACATACACAGAAATACACAAATCTGCTTAATTTTATTTTTTTTTCTAAAATACTGCAAGAAATCTGAAAATAATATATTTTTCTTTTAGAGAAATAGAAGTTTTAATTAAATATATATATATAATATTTACAAATAGATAAGTACAAAATGAATGTATAAATACATATATTTATATTATTACAACAATTCATTCACATATTTATGTGCATATGCATATATTTATTTATATATCTATTTATTTAGCATTTCTTTATTTCCACATTTATTTCTATTTCTATTTCACTGACTGTATGCTAATAATGGGGCGTGTTTTCGCTCTTCAGACAAAAGCAATCGAATCACCCCAGACCGGCTGCCTACTGCTCCACACTCCAGTCCAGTAGGTGG